GGCACAGGCGAGCTCCAGCGACAACCTGTCGCCAGGCTATCGCTAGGGTTTCCCTATAAAAGGGAAACCCAGAGCTCGAGCCTCTGTGTGCTGGCTTCCTCTCTCTCTCCTCTCGTGATTTTAGCCCTGGCGGTGACCCCCCCTCCTTCTCTTCTTCTCTGCTTTTTCTTTTTTTCTCCAGCTCATGTTGTTTTTGAGGGAGGAACTAAGAAAGGGAAATTTAAAGAAGAGAGGATTTAAGGAGGGAAATTAAAGAGGGTTATTACTGTAGCCACAGTAACAAACTTTTATTTATTGAGAGATCTCAGAGATCTACTCTTGCATTGTAATTTCTTTGATTAATAAGAAATTAATTGTGTGACTCCCGAGGACGTAGGCATGTTTGCCGAACCTCGTAAATCTTGGTGTACTTTTCTCTATACTGTGTTTTTACTATTTTAGGGGTTTAACGTAGCCCCGGGTATTTCCCAACAGTACATTATTTGCTTCTTTGACCTTAATTATATTTTTTTGTCAACTAGATTCATGATTTCTTACAATAAGCAATAGAATGCAGATCAAAACTGAGGTTGATAAGATGCGAACGTATCTAATAGGTTGATCTTGTGTTTTTCCCTCTAGAAATTTCGGTATGTCACTATGAAGTTTATGTAACCTCTGGTTTTTACCCAGCTACACATATGCGTATTGTAATACGTCACGGAAGTTAAAAAGAGAAGGAACTGCTTCCTATTCTATTTCTCATATTCAAGAAAGTTCAAGCATGTTTTCTTTATTTCAGGAAGGAGTAGCTGTCGGAAGAACATTTGCTTCCATTAAGGACTATCAAGTTGATGGGAATAAGGAAATGATGGCCATTGGAATAATGAACATCATCGGTTCATGCACATCATGCTATGTCACCACAGGTTAGAAAATGGAGAAAATGGAAAATGCGTATATCTCAGTTCTTTCTGCTTTCATTCAATGGGCATGAGTTATAATAGTTTTTCGATGGGAAGATATGGAACTGCAGCAGAAATTTCACTGGCAGTTACTTTTGAAACTCGTTAATGTTTTCTTCTTTTGCTGATATTGAGAAGAACGAAATAATCCTGATTTCAAAAAGTTGTCCACATAAACCAATATGTATCTTGACTTATATACATTTTAGCACAAAAGAGATAAGCCTGTATGGATAATTACATCTACGGTAGTAAAACGCGAATCATAAGTTTTACGAACATTGTCAAAGAGTTCTTGTCATACAACCACAATAACAAAAAGCAAAGCCTTTATCCCGAATTTTCGGTGTTGGGTATCCTACTTTTACACTATTCAATTGAGGGATATTTCCACTCAGGTAATCATTATTATGTTCTTCACAACAGCTTCTAACCAAATTTCTTGGGCCTACCTCTAGTCCTTTCTCCATTAACTATAATCTCATAAAATTTTCTAAACAATGCATTTAATGGCATTTGCTCTACATGATTTGATTCTCTCTCCCTTTATCCTTAAATAGGAGCAACCTTTAAATTGCTACGAATACACTCATTGCTTATGTTATCTCATAATGTATGTTCACTTGTCCATCTTTATTCACATTTCTTCTAAACACTCATTGTTTGGACATGTTAAATAAGAAAAGCGTGCAAAAAGTTCCCGTAAGTTTCAAGTCGGGGTTGATTTTATGCAACTCCTAAAATAAAAAGAATCTTCTAACACTAACCCTACTTTTTTGTGTGGATGCCAGGAGCCTTTTCTCGTTCAGCTGTGAACAATAATGCTGGATGTAAGACTGCAATGTCTAACATAATTATGGCAATTACAGTAATGGTCACTCTCCTCTTCCTAATGCCCCTCTTTGCTTACACCCCTAACGTCGTGCTCGCCGCCATTATAATCACAGCCGTCATCGGCCTTATTGATGTTCATGCTGCTTGTCAAATTTGGAAAATGGATAAAATGGATTTCCTTGTTTGTATTTGTGCTCTTCTTGGTGTTATTTTTATTTCTGTCCAAGAAGGCCTTGGCATTGCTGTAAGTACTTGTTCGTTTTTGTTTAACTCGAAAGTTAATGAATGTTTTCCCCAGAAATATAAAATAATAAATTGGCAGGTCGGATTATCGATATTCAGACTACTTCTTCAGATCACGAGACCAAAGACGGTGATCTTGGGAAACATTCCAGGAACTGATATCTATCGAAATCTTCATCACTATAAGGAGGCTAAAAGAGTCCCAGGCTTCCTTATAGTGGCTGTCGAAGCTCCCATTAATTTTGCAAATACCAACTATCTCAATGAAAGGTTTGTATCAAACTATTTTTATGAGTGTTAGTTCCAACAAGCATCATCTCAGATTCTCAAGCCTCAATCAGTGTGAAATACATAATATGCATGCAATCAGATTAAACACTATGTTTCCATGAAAAATTACTCTCGCATATACTTGCGAAACATTTATTATCAGTCTTAATATTCTTCTAATATTATGGCAAAATTTTCACTGTCATTTTATTCTAACAAAAAAATTGTGATATTATTTGACGTTATTTGCTCCACTCATATTGTTAGTACATGATACGTTTCCGTCAGACTAATTTTTGTTATCGCTCTTCAAATTTTATTACTTTATATATTGAACTACATATGTCATTCTTGCCTCACTGGTATCTCCTCAAATTTAATCAATGGAGCCAATTCTGATGCATATTTTACAATTTGAGCAGTTTGTGTGGATCCGACTGTACATGCTTTGCTCTCTGACTACCGGAGAATGAGAACACCCTATGTTTTTCTTGTTTATTTATATCCCGTTTCACTTTTGACTTACTACCTGAACAACTTTTTTAACCAACCAATTAATGATAATCTACAAGTGTTAGTATTAGTTCAATACGGACCTCTAATTGACTCTGTCATACCTGAAATTCTTTTTTTTTTCTTTTTTTTTTCCTTTTTCCTTTTTGAATAGAATTGCAAGATTGATAGAAGAAGAAAAGGTTGAGGAGAAACATGAAGACCTTCGCTTCCTGATCCTAGATTTATCAGGTAAGGATTTTCTCTATGTCACATCTAGCTAGCATATTTTAGTTGTTTTAAATCTGAATAAATATGACTTGTTAGAAAAAATGTCAACCGCGTAGAGGTAGGAACTGGAGAGTTGAAGTAGCTTGTACATGGATCTTATGCAAATGTTTCATTTTATTCTCTCATTAGCTTTACACTTATATACTCATTGAAGCATCTATATTCATGCCAAACAGATTCCTCGGTCTTTGGTATGATTATGCTTGAACATCTGATAAACTGAAAAGCTTTTAAGAATAAGTAGTTTCATTGTTACCTAATTCATCACATGCTATGAATCGTGATGCGATTGATGCATACTGATTCCTGGCAAGTTCCTTGTCCTTATAGCCAAATTCAGTAACTTGAGATCTAAAAATACTAAATAAAAAAATGTTCTTTTTTTTGAGAGAAAGGATGGATTACTGTTAATCATAACAGTAATCCAACTAGCTAAATTAAACTAAACTTGGTTGTTACATGACTATACACATTCCCAACCAAGAAGAATGTGCACTTGAGTTCAAACAATAATTAAAAAAAAGCGCTTGCAAAAGAACACTTTTTAATAGTTACTTTGCAATTTAATATTTGTACTTTTGTAATTTAATATTTGCATAGTGCGGGCATAACACTAGTTAAGTCTATTCAGAAAAACATATATATTGTTGAACATAGATACTAGTGCTAACTGTAGCAAAAGAACACTTTTTAATAGTTACTTTGCAATTTAATATTTGTACTTTTGTAATTTGATGCACCTTGAAGCAATCTACTATCTAATCCATACATCATTATTTGCAGTCACGCTCTATATACAAATATTAAATAACCTATTAGTGGAACAAAGATGATGTCATTTATACAACCATATCGTTGGGCCTATAAGAAATATATGAAGTGAAGAAAAAAATAGATAATATTTTGATCAATTTTAAATATCTTATATAATTTTGTTGTTAAAAAATAGCATGAAAAGTCCTCTTGTTATTGGATACACTCTGGATAAAGAGTTATATTACGAATATGCTTGTACTGTGTTGGCAAATGATAACCGAAGAAGCGCTTGCGCATGAACAATAGCAGAAAAGTTTTCTAAGAACAAAACTATATCTTTATATGAAGTACTAACATTGTTGTCAACTCCATAGAAAAGAAAAGACACGTATAGGTATGTAGCAGTAGTAGGTCATAGCTGTAGAGTTTCCATGTTTCCCAAGGAGCAAACTGTAGCGCAGGTTATTACCAAGTAATTAAGAGAGAAGGGGTTTTAGTTAAAAAGAATTTGAAAGGGCTTGAATGTGAAATGGAGGATTTGAATGCGCTTTAGGAGGAGAGAGCGGGACCGTTTCAAGGGAGTTGAAGTTGGTTTTGCTTTGAAATTGAGCTTCTTATGTTGGTTTTTGCTCCTTATTTTTAATCTAAAAAATGTTGACTTTTTGCTTTAAAATTGGGAGCTTTGTGTTGGAATATCAAATTAAAATGTTAGAATAAATGAGGTTAATAGCATGAGTTTTAGAAGTGCGAGGATTATAAGTTTAGAAGGGGAAGAGACATATGTTATGGAAGAATAAGAGTACTCACTCCTTTATGATATTTTATCTTTATCAAGGTTTTAAATATCGGATGTCGGGTTCATGTCGGACGGCTGAAATCCATGTCGGATAGCGGAAATCGGGGATATATCGGGGGACATGGACTAAATATCGGATTGTCATATCGGGTGATCCGTATATGTATAATATCATGTCCTAAATGTAATCTAACTATCTAAGCATTCCTGATTCTGAGAAACAAGTCCTCTTACTCAGCAGTCACCACTCAACAGTCACACAACTGAATCAGCAAAGTGCAAAGTGCAAACTGAATCTACAAAGTGCAAACAGAAAAAAATTATGACTAATATGTATTAATAAGAAGCAAATAGTAGCAATTTCATAACTTCATGACTCTGCACATTTCAACATTCATAATATGTATTAATAAGAAGCAAATAGTAGCAATTTCATAACTTCATGACTCTGCACATTTCAACATTCATATGCACATTTAAAATAAAATAAATCTCTCCTTATTAATCAATAATCATTAGCCTATTATTAATCAATTAGCCTATTATTAATCAAGTGATCAAACATCAAGTAATCATTAGCCTATTATTAATCAAAATAGTCCACAAATCAAACATTCACGTGTGCAGAAGAAGAAAAAAAGAAAAAACCGCAGACCAAAGGCAAAAGGAGAACGGAAGCAGAAAATAAAAAAAATTGAAAACCGAAGCAAGAAAAAATAACGGAAGATAAAAAAAAACAGTGAAAAGAGCAGCAGCTAGGGGAAAAAACAGAAAGAGAACAAAGACTGAAAACCGAAGCAAGAAAAAAAGAAATGAAAAGAACGGAAGAAAAAAAAAGAACGGAAGCTAAAAAAACAGTGAAAAGAGCTTACCAGAGAGAGAGAGGCTTCCCGATGATGACGACGCAAAACGAAGGCGACTCCGAGGAGAAGGCGACTCCGACGAGCTCCGGACTTTGTCGCTGAGTGAGGAGAGAGAGGAGAAGCCCTAGGTTTTTGCCGCTCCGGTTTTTTGCCGCTGAACGACGAGCTCTGGGTTTTTGCCGCTGAACGACGAGCTCCGGACTTTGCTGTTGGCTTCCCGATCGCGAGTGAGGAGAGAGAGGAGAAGCCCTAGGTAGGTTTTCTTCTTTTTTCTTTTGATCGGGTATTTTCCCCCCTTTTTTCTTTTGATCGGGTGGCTTAAGTGTCAATCGGGTCAAATGGGTGTCGATGAACCCAAACCAAACCCAATAAAGCTCAAAGAACCCAAACCAAACCCGATATTCCCCAAGCTTGGCCGATTTTCCAAAGAGGAAAAATCGGCCGATATAGCCGATTTTTCGCCGATATGACTGATATGTCGGTAAAAAACGATATTCGACTTGTTTTTCCCCGATTTGTGTCGCTGGACCACTCAATCCGCTATACCGGCCGACATGTCCGACATGTCGGCCGATATTTAAAACACTGATCTTTATGACATTAAAAGAGGAGTTTAATTTGTAACTATTTGTATGCCTATACGTTTTTTTGAAGCCTATATAAAGGGCTATTGTAATCCTAGCTTGTTTCATCAAGAAAAAATTAAAGAAATAAAAGTAAGTTCTTTGTCTTCATTTGGGAGAGTTCTAAGTTCGTATACTTAAGAGTCAACAGCGGTATCAGAGCCGCTTGATCCAATTTTCCCATTCTCTTTTCTTCTCATGGCTACCACAAATAATCTTGTTAATCCTCAAGTGCCCAAATTATCAAAAAATAACTATGAGAGTTGGTCAATCCAAATGAGAGCCTTATTTGGTTCTCAAGAGTTGTGGGATCTGATCATTGATGGGTTCACGGAGCCTACACCAGATGTAGAAGCCACCTACACCGCCAAAGAGAAGAAGGTTCTTAGAGAGCAAAGAAAGAAGGATAGCAATGCTCGTTTTCTACTCTATCAAGGGTTGGACGAGTCTACCTTTGAGAGAGTTGTCGAAGCAACGACGAGCAAGGAAGCATGGGAAATACTTGCTACCATCTATAAAGGTGTCGAGCGGATGAAGGGAATTCGCCTCCAAACTTTGATGAGCGATCTTGAAGCTGCTCAAATGAAAGATGAAGAAAAAATCTCTGATTATTATTCACGATTACTTCTAATTGTAAATAAAATAAGGAGAAATAGAGAGAAGATGGAGGACATCGAAGTGATGGAGAAGTTTCTCCGTTCTCTTACATCAAAATTCGAGCACGTGGTGGCGGCAATTGAGGAGTCAAAGAATTTGGAGGAGATCTCAATAGAGGAGCTCTTAGGATCTCTCCAAGTTCATGAACAACGAATGCAAAAGTAGGCTAGTTCCATAGTTTTGGAACAAGTACTAGAGTCAACATTGACTCTAAGAAATAAAGGCTCACAAGGTAAAGGTCGTGGTCGTGATCGTGATAGAGGCAGGGGACGTGTTCCCCAATAACAAACCACTCAAAATCAAGTAGTGACCCAAAGCTTTAGAGGACGAGGACGAAGCAATCGTGGAAGATCCACACCTGAGCGTGGAAACAACAAGTATATTCAGTGCTATAACTGTCATAAGTTTGGGCACTATATTTCAAATTGTTGGCACAAAACTGAAAACCAAACCAATCTTGCCGAAGCAACAAATGATATGAGTAACAACTCTACGCTTCTTCTTGCTAATGATGATTCAAGTGTTGAGAATAATACTTGGTACATTGACTCGGGTGCTAGTAACCACATGTATGGGAAGAAAGAACTTTTCATGAAACTCACAGAAGGAGTTTATAGAAGTGTGAGCCTGGGAGATTCTTCAAAACTCCCAGTTGAAGGCAAAGGAAAGATTAAAATCTACCAAAAGGATGGTAAGTCCAAGTATATTTCTGATGTTTACTATATTCCTAACATGAAAAGTAATATTCTTAGCATCGGTCAATTACTCGGAAAGGGATACAAAGTGCATATGGAGAACAACCATCTTTGGTTGAAAAATACAAATGGAAGCCTCATAGCTTGTATTAAGATGACAAGGAACTGCATGTTTCCCTTGCATTTAAACACGAAAGTCGACAAGTGTTTTTAAGGACTCATGGAGAATGAGTTATGGAGGTGGCATCTTCGCTTCGGCCATCTAAACTTCAGCGGCCTGAAGTTACTGTCTACAGCTAGTATGGTACGAGGTCTACCAACAATCGATCCACTGAATCATATTTGTGAAGGTTGTGTAATTGGCAAGCAACCACGACTTCCTTTTCCCAGTGGAAAATCATGGAGAGCAAAGGCACCATTGCAACTTATTCACACTGATATCTGCGGACCGATCGATCCCATCTCTTTGGGAGGTAATAGATATTTAATAACCTTCGTTGATGACTTCAGTAGAAAGTTGTGGGTGTACACTCTTAAATAAAAATCTATTACCTTTACTACATTCAAGCAT